GGCCACTGTCAGAATTAGCTTGAATTTCCACTCCGTCTGTCTTTTCTTTTTTCCCTCACATAACACAATGAGTCATGTATCTGTACCCTGAAGGGGGGAGTCTGATGTAAACACTTGAATGTATAAAGTCATATTGACATGCTGAATCTTGCGATTGCTCAGGTTCATGGAGCCCGCTGTCATCGTCTGCCTCGGAGGAATCCTTCCGTTCGGCTCCATTTTCATTGAAATGTAAGTGTGTGCGGTGATACTGATGTATTTGTACGTTGTTAGCTGATCTCTGCAGCCTCGGCAATGTGTTCACTGTCCTCACTCTTCAGGTACTTCATCTTCACATCTTTCTGGGCCTACAAAATCTACTACGTGTACGGCTTCATGATGCTGGTCCTGGTTATCCTGTGCATCGTGACTGTGTGTGTCACCATCGTGTGTACGTACTTCCTGCTCAACGCTGAGGATTACAGATGGTGAGTGTGTTGCCCAATACGACGACAACTTGTTCCATACAGATTTTGCAAATAACAGTCATGAGTTTAATTCCAGAAAATAATCTTTCAGCATTTTAAACCATTTACAGTTTGTTGCAAACCTTGTGCTCACCTGCCATAAACAGTTGAGAGTTACTGAAAGTAACTGGTACTGATTGTAGTTTTTTGCTTGTCCCTCTTTTCCAGGCAATGGACAAGCTTCCTCTCTGCTGCATCCACTGCTGTTTATGTTTACATGTACTCCTTTTACTACTACTTCTTCAAAACTAAGTGAGTTTTCAGTCTTCTTAATACACACACACATGGAATAGTCTCCCAATACGGGGAGAAACAATTTAAAATAGATACTTCCGAAGAGTCAGATACATTTCTAACATGTTGTTTTATGCTCATGTGCTTCAGGATGTACGGGCTGTTCCAGACATCTTTCTACTTTGGTTACATGGCCGTGTTCAGCACTGCCCTCGGAATCATGTGTGGTGAGTCACGGTCCTGGTTGATTAAATACTGTAGTACTGAGCTGAACTAAAGAAACTCTTGGAGAAGTAATATTTGCAGAATTTGGCTTTTATAAACTCTAGATTTAATCAAAAACTTTTAATTGCAGAGTCTGTTGCAGAACAAGAGACATGAGTACACTGCCACAAATCCATCTGTTGATTAGATTTTTCAGTGATGAAATAATGTGAAAGATATTTTGGCAATCATCCAGTGTGATTAGTCTCTGAGAGGTAACGGCTGAGCCTGATTGTAAAGACATTTGAATATTCTTATCCTATGAGTGCACATACCTGTTTCAACATGAGGAGTGTTATCTGTCCATGAAGAGGTGCGCAGCAGTGAGATTTGACCATTTGCATGATCGACCTTAATGCTATGCAGAGCTCCCTGTTTAGCTCAGTATATGGGCAGGGTTCATTCATGCTCAATCCAGCAGACGAAATCATAACAAATGTAAATGTTAGTAGTCACCCAAAACAATGTAGAAAATATCAATATTAAATAATAATTCCGGTGTAATACAGCGTTGTGTCATTAGAGCAGCATCGTGCTGTGACACGGTCAAGTTCCATGTCTGTCCAGACTTGCATATATATGTAGTGAAGATTCCAGCTCTGAATACCTAAAGGTAAAAAACACTTTGTGAAACAAACATCATCTTCTCAAAGATGGAGCTATATGTTGTGAAGACTTTGAAGTAATCTAATAAAAGGTATTAAGTATATTTTGTCATAATTGGCGTATGAATTCTTGAGTTATGGCCATAAATGTTTTGTTATGTGACAGTGGCCTTGACCTTTGACCTTTTGACCAACAGATTCTAATCAGTTTATCCAGGATGAATCCAGGTCACTGAACTCATATAACCATTTTTGTCAAGAATTTGTCAAAATTTCACACAAATGTCTCATAGGGTAAATCCTAAAGGTCAGAGGTCAACTTCACTGTGACACTATAATGTTCTGCAAATGCACTTAATACCTTTTCATTAAATTCCTTCAAAGTCTTCACTACATATATTATGAGTCTGCACAGACATGGCTGTAAACTGCAGCTTGACTTGTTGGTGGAGTTGGACGACTGCAAGGCAGTAATTTGAGTTTATTTAGGATTTATTGTTACATATTTAAATTTCAAATTAATTCAGATTGAGGCAGTGGTAGATGACTGTATTTTATACAAAGCACCTCACAGTTTGCTCATTTACCCATTGACACACAGACAGCAGTGAGCTGCCACGGCCTGACTATGAGGAACAATGTGGGGTTCAGTGAGCGGCTGACTCGATCTCCTGAGTCACAGTCAAACAAGTCAATCAAGTGTTTTTTCTCATGTGGAGAAAGACAAATGATCTGTCCATAAACCCTGCAACAGACCTGGATGCAAATTCTAAATACCAAAAATTTTTTGGATGCAACAGATTGTCTTGAATCACTCGATTATGTCCACACAAGTGGTTCTTCAGCCTGCAAGTTTTTTTCCACATCAGCTCTTCAGCTTTAACTGCAGTTATATAGGCTTTTCCTCATTAGCTGCAAGCCAAACTCATTCCTCATCTTGAAGAATGATAAGCCAAGACCGTCACCGATGTATCTTAAAGCTCCTTTTGTGGAGCTCTCTCTAATCGGCACTACCTCCCCTCTGGGTTTGTTGGATGTGTGACTGCTCATTGTGTAGATGTAGGATGTGCTTTGCTCTTCCCACCCTCAGTGAATTCTTTCACCAGTAATCGTTTTGTCCTGTGATGGATTTACCTGCAGAGTGAGAGCAGTGCGCGAGTTGTCGGTCCACCTAAAAGAAACTCACAACACATTTGTCTTCCAGGTGCCGTCGGATACATGGGAACAAGTGCCTTCGTGAGGAAGATCTACACAAATGTGAAAATTGACTAAGGCGCGAATCAGCAACACAGGGATATTAATGGATTTGCCTACGACGGCGGGCACAAGTCATTCTTTATTACTTTTCTTTCTTGCAAAGAGATTGTGAGAATCTCACTTTGTACAATGTAGTTTTTTCCATTTTTCTGAATGAATTTCAATGCCGCAACTCAAAGTGAACAAGAGCGAATCTGCGGGAGAGATATCAAACACAAGGTTCTGTTTTTATCAGTTGCTTTCAAACAAACGTTGGGGCAGATGTTTAAGGCTGACATGGCTTCTCTTTTCCAACCCAGTCCCACCTGAGACCAGAGAACATAAATGTTTATTGATGGCATAGTGTAGCTCTCTTCAGTGAAGAGGCCTAAGTGTATTGAAAGCCTTTCGTTCTATTGTGTCAGAATATCGGAGAGTTGGGTTTGTGCCCGTGTTCTGACTTGATTTCTATTTTGTATTCTTGAAGTCAATCGAATTATCGTTACTACACAGTAGTTTGTTCAGATCTACTTCCACTGCAAAATGATTTAGAAATCTGTTGTCACTCGAGAATCATTCCCCCATTTTGACGATTCTTAATTCCCTGTTACAGTAGCAATCCATCCAGTTGATGATTTTAGTCCTGCTGTAGTTTACTGTGCAGATGAGAACAGAGGGACTGATCAGTGGTTGAGGTGCAGTAAGACCCGATTTTTAAATGGATGTTTGATGTGACCCCATTTCCCGTTTAGTCTTATGTTTTCTTAATGTTTGGGTTTGAATGAAGTCTACTTGTAAAGATAATATATGGATGGGGGGGAGTGTATATAACCTTAATAATGTACCTTTAGATGTAGATCCCAAATGTATTTTCGTTGTACAGATTTACTACAGGGTGTTTTTTTTAAATGAATCATTCAGTTAAAAACAAAAAGGTTTTTTTTTTTTTTTCTTTGTTTGGTGCTTGGGGTGGGGCTGGTGGCGCTGTTACATCTTGCCTGAAATTGCATGAAGTTTTCACCAAACCATCTGATCAAGTTTTCACTTCAGTCAGCGCTGTCTTTTTTTTTTTTTTCTCTCTCTCTCCGATTGTAAGCATCTTCTCAGTCTCAAAATGTAGAGGTACATTTTTGATGATCAGTAGGCCTGCTTATGGACACTCTTCTTATTTTTGATTTCATATATTATTTAAAGCTTTAAAAGGCTCTACATCTCCTGGTAAGCCATTTTCCCTTCATGTTCTTTCTGTTGCCTAACCTGAAACATCATTTGTGAATGTCAGAAGGAATGAGGCAGATTGCTTTGTTTCTGCAAACACTGTACAAAGTGAAGTTTATGTACACTTAAAACTAGATGTTTTCATAACCACAGTGCTGCGGAGTGTTTCAAATGCTTTTTTCCATTTTGTGTAAATACAGTACGTACCCTACTTGTATGAGAAGTGGCAATGCCTTTTTTTTCTAACTTCCAGTTCTCCCCCACTGAAGTTGATTTTGGCACCTCATGTTGTGTACCAATGTCTGTTTAGACATTTTGAACCTGCATATTAACTTGCTGTAAAAAGAGAAAATAAACATGTTTATGTACAGGGGTTATTAAGTGTGGTTTGGACTTTGAGGGTAAATATTTTTAAACTGGTTTAATAAGTTCACACTGTATTACAGTCACCAGACCATACAGTGGTACAGCTCAGTGTCTGTTTGATAGGGAATGAGCTGGGAGTTAGGGCTCTGCTTATTTCTTAGATCATTGTTCTTTTTCCTTTTTGGCTGGACCACAACAGTGACTGAGTGATGAAGTTATACCATTGGTCTGCCGTGTGTTGGAGTTTCCCCATTTGGCTCTTGCTCAGGATTATCTGCAATAATAAGTCGGCGCACTGATATTTGTGCCCAATGATAAAAAGAACGGCTTTCATTAAGTGCGACTCTGTTCCCTTCGTGCCAAAGAGCTGCCAACGTAACATCACTGTTTTATGCAGAGTCTCGAGGGGAAGCTGAGGTGATTCAGTTAATCACTCAAGAAAATACCAGCCATGAATAAAAGAGTGACGTGTCGGGTCAATTAGCCTGAACCCCTGCTTAAAATATGAGCTCCACCACAATCTTGCTCATAAAACAGAGTTGTTTATGAAGAATATATTTATTGAGCAGTGTATGAGTAAATACAACTTTAATGGACTAAGAGTGTTTCATTTATTTTTAGGTTTGTGCTGTTTTAGCTGGAAGCGTTGTGAACTTTGTCAGTTGACCTTTTCAAAGTACTCCTTGGATCCTTCTGGGGTCGGTTTGATCTGAAAAACAAACGGTTACAAGATGAACTTCAGCTGAAGAACAGGTCTCCACTCTGACTCACAGAAAACTGATGAACCTGAAGCACATTTCTCCACATTGCATTTCTTACACTTACACACACAGAGTGAATAATTGGTGTGACAAACTGAAATTAAAAGCACAATGTGAAATGCACCGAGAAAGGTGCTAACAGGAACATTTATACTTTGGGGCTGAATCCAACAGAGGTTGAGTGAACTCACCGTCGGGGACTCGGGGGTCCAGCTGGCCGGACACACCTCACCATGAGTCTCCACAAACTGGAACGCCTTAACCAGACGAAGGGTCTCTTCTACACAACGGCCCACTGGCAGGTCATTCACACTCATGTGCTTCACCACACCGTTTGGATCAATGATGAACAGGCCCCTGAAGGACAGTAATAAAAACATTGTCAAGCGTCTTTCTCAACAACAGTTACACTGTTCTCTACAGAACATTAACAAAATCTAAACAAAAGACAAAACTATAATTACCTCCTCACAGCTGTGTAGTGTCAGGTTACATCTCTGTCATAAAATATCTGAGAAATTTTGCTATAATTGCTGTGTGAAGTCTTGAGTAATGGCTAAGAAATGTTTTTTGACGCCATTGTGACCTTGACCTTTGACCACTAAAATGGAATCACTTCGTCCTTGAGTCCAAGTGGACATTTGCACAAAATTTGAAGGAGTTCCTTCCTCTGAGATATCGTCTCCACGGGAATGGGACGGACATACTGATGTACATATGTATGGACTGACAGAAAACCCAAAAACAATACGCCGCTGGCGCGGAGGCAAAAACAAAAGTCAAAGTCAAAAACATCATGCAGACAATCAGAAAAGAAAAAAAAATCAAGAAATACTACATCAGTACAGAAATAGTAACAGGTAACGGTAGCAAACATAACAGATACTGAAATAAATAGCAGCAACTTGAGGCTGAATCGTGTTTTCCATGTCCTTCAGTTCATCTACGATCACTCTGTAAACATACAAACAACCTGATCTTCTAAAGTTCAACTGGGCTCATAAATCTGCAGAATGAGTGTTTTCTCTGACTTCTACTGAGGCTTTAATAAAATCCTTCAAAATACAGTACTGCAGCTGTGGGCGTGAGTGTATGATTATTACACTACCACTGTGGAAGTTCACCAAATGCTGTTTGTAACAGCTGTTCTGTTAAATATAGCAAACATCTTTCTCTTTCCTGGAGAACATCTGGACTGAACACAGACTGAGCTGGCAAATAAAAGTAAATAAAAACCACAATGATCGGTTTTTGAAAAAAAATCAAATAAAAAATCAAATAGTCCTGCAGCAACATTATCAGAACGAGGACCAAAGGGTCTAATGGGCTTAGGTGACAGATAGAAGTGATGTTAGCCACCTAAGAAATGACAGCAGCAGTGATGGTGGTAGCAACAGTAGCTGTGGTTAAGTGACAAGTCCTTCAGGGTTCTTGTCACACCTGCCAACATCTCTGCTGGTTAGTCTGGTCTAATAACTTTAAACAACTATACCTGTACATTATATTGGAAATTAAATTCTAAGTTATGTTGAATTCTTGGCAAACATTTCTGTGTCGGTTTAATGGCGGCTGCGGACTGAGAGATCACATCATGAACCTACCTCAGTGCGATGCCCGGACCCTCCAGCAGCACCCCATAGTCTCTGGAGATCTGCTTGTTGAGGTCTGAGAGCAGGGGGATGTGGATGTGGCCCAGACCTCCAGTCTGACAACACAGCATATATTTACTTTAGTGCATTAGACAGCACTCAGAGCACAACAGACCAACCACGCATTTACTAAAGGTTTGTCACTTCAAAGCCGGAACCAAAACAGCAGTGAGTTGAACCTTGCACCATGTGTCTGTTACTGACTAATCATTGAGGGAGGAAGTGTACCTTGCGTGGAGTGTTGATCCATGCCAGGTGGGTAAAGTGGGAGTCCACAGACACACCCATCACCTCACAGTTGACGTCGTGGAACTCGCTGGCCTTGTCGCTGAATGAGATGATCTCTGTTGGGCAAACGAAGGTGCTGCAGACACAGAGAGAAGTCACGAGATAGCACAGTCACAAATAACCACAGTACATCTGCAGAGGATTGATGAGATGAGTCTGAAATACTTTCATTCGGTCAAAAAGCACAAGGTGATCGTCAATAGAGGTACTTAAAATGTACATACATTAATTTACATTACATTAAAGCACATTTAAATTAAAGCTGAACAAAGTCAACGTGTTATTCACGTCATCTCTTGGTGCACGTCTGAGAGTCACGACCAGTACTCACAAATCCAGAGGGTAGAAGAACAGGACCAGGTATTTGCCCTTGAAATCAGCGAGGCTCATCTCCTTAAACTCCCCATTGTGGACAGCTGTGCCCTTAAAAGCAGGAGCGGGCTGAGTGACAGCGGGGGCCCATCTGCAAGAGCCTGATAGAAAAGTCAAGCACAATTTATTCATACATGCTATTTGCTTAGTGAAACCAAGGTGATTCCTGCAGTTTGGAGCACAGATACAGCACACTGATGATCCCAGTCATCTATATATGACCCCTATACATCTTCAGTCAAGATAACATGTGTACGGAACATGTCGGTGTGTGCTGAAAACAATGATCTCAATGGACAACATGTCCAGCATGTTAGTTTAATACTTACTAACAGGAGCTACTTGCAAAGACATGCAATCAGTTTGAGACCCACTTGACACAGTGTACGGTACCTCCACAAAACAACATCATCAGTGTGAGCTGCAGACAACTTATGGTAGATTTAATGATATGATCATAACAAGTCACCTTTATATTGAATTCTGTGGTCTAAATCTGTGGTTCCCAACCTGTGGACAGCAAAGATACTGCAAGTGGGGCGACAAATCATTTACAAAACAGAACAATTTTGGTGAAAATATGTGTGTTATAAAATATTTGCTTAAACAAAATTATCTTTAAAAATATTAAAAATGTTGAAAAACTCCTTTCGTTGTTTTTTATTTCTTGTATTAAGTTCTGTCACTGTCATAAGCCAATGATAGGAACTTCTACCTTGTTGCCATCTCAGTCCTGTTTGCTTGTTATCATTCAAATAGAAACGACTGAGAATGTATTATTTGGTCTCTGTATCGTTACAGGGTCAAATGTTAGCTGCCAACTTTTTTGAGATTTTAAAGTGGGACATGAGTTGGAAAAGGTTGGGAACCGCTGGTCTAAATTGATCCAAAATCTGATTATAAACTAACAAAAAAGTTTTGTACATGAATCATTTTGTCTGATCAGTTCACTGCACTAAGCATCAATTTGAATACTTAATTTGATATTACACATATTTGCCTCATTGTGATATACATCAATAAGGGAAAAGTGATATTATCTGACAGCTGTAATCTGAGTTTTGTACTCACTGGTGGAGAAACAGGCTCTCTGAAGAGCAGGAGCGGTGAGAGCTCTTACAGCCCCAGAGCCTCCATGTTGACAAGCTGCTGTGACGTTCAGTCCAGCGGCTGCAACTCTTGCCTGGGAACAGACATCAGTTCATTATATTAACAATACACAAATGGTAAATTAGCAACTTGACACTTATTTTTTATAAGTTCATACCAGCCATGTTTGTGTCCTGACTGGAGACTAAAACGTAGTTAAAATGTGGGGCAGTTTTAAAGCTGAGGTATAAAGTCGAGGATGTTTAATCCCTCATGTTTGATTTGAATTCATCCTGCATGAAAAGAAAATATGTCCTTCCTTTATAATTTGACAACTTTTCTTTTGCTGCTACCACTTCACAGTCTAGTGAGCAAAGGTCGTGATGTGCAAATGTTCGAGGCTTGTTATGAAATCTTTACAAATGTGAGGTGGTTTTATGATGAGCGACAGACGAGATGTCCACAGGTTTGATGCCAACAAGTTTCTGCAAGATGAAAGATCCTGTGCTGAAAATGAATGACATGCTGTGATTTTTTTCAGCCATGATGGTGACACTGAATACATGCTGAATATTTGTAGGTAGAAATATTAATAATGACCTTTTTTTCAAAGTAACTTTTCTTATAACAGTGACATATGATTTTGTCACTGTATACTATTAATTCCTATCAGTGTGTAGTACAGCGTCTTCCTGAGGGCAGTTTGTGAATTCTTTAAAAAAGGGGACGAACAGGATCAGACACAATTTGTCGAGCTTTCTGTTTCACCTGCAGTCTGTTTACACACTCCAGTTGTTTCTGCTCTTTCCCAATTATTTTACTGGCAGTGCTTGTAATCGAGGTCAGTCTGTTTCTTAGACCCTAGGCGCCCTACACCATGTGCACATATTAAAAGTTAAAACTCTTTCCACAAGACTTCTGTGAACAATCTCTAAAATGCTTTTGCTTATATCATATGACTCCAATTTCTTGATTAGATACAACACTGCAAATTATGCTTTTTAAAAAATGCATTGTGTGTTGACTGTAAAACTCAAGAGTGCAGTCCAAAAAGGTTCCTAAATATTTGCAGAACAGGCCGAAATTTATGACACTGTGTTGGTTTGACATCTGCAGTCCTGACTTGCCAAACTGCGCCACCCTCAGTTATGAGAAGTCATATCTTTTTAAAACATGTTGAAAGGGAAGTTCCCATAAAAGTGATGCTGCACTGCTCTCTAGGGTTCAAAAGTCAGTTACACCACGAACAGTGATTTCCCAGCAGGTGTTTTACACCAGCTGCCAGGGCACAATACCTGCTGAGAGAGAGCAAACCGCCGCCACTGACAGGAATAAAAACAAGCAAATAAGTGAGCTGTGTCTGAACCTATACAACATGTTTAGCAGGTCTGATGTGGATTTCATAGACTTCAAAATCACAGGTTTCTGTTGAGTGTTTTCTGCTGAATAGTTTGCCACGACGGGTGAGTAATAATTAAAAATGCAAAATAAGCCTATAGATGGCCGTTATGCTCATACTGAATATATTAAATTCTATATCTTTAAGCTGTTGTTGTGTTTCATGCAGTTGCAGTTATGACAAAAAACATGCCACACACATACATACATTTATCACAGTAGACATTTTGAAATGTTATAGCAGAAAAGGCACCGGTGTAATTGATAAGATTAATGATGGCTGCATTTCTTTTAGGTGGGTCACAGCCAGCATTACATTCAAATTCAATATGTTAAGCATGTTTACATGTTAAGTATAAAAATACAGTTGAAGTTATTTGTTTCTTCAACATGAAAACAGACAAATTCGTAACACAAAACACAAACATCAGGACAAATATTAAGTTTAAGTGTTCTGGCTAACTGCCATGACAGTACAACAGAGACACCTTTAATTAGTGTGATTGATTACACCTGTGCTTTTTCTGCTATGGCACGTCACAATGCGAATAATGTCTATGTATGGGACAGTAATAATGCCACTGTGACACGGACCACTTTAAATTAAATCAAATTTAAAAAAAATAAATTAAATAAAGCATGAGATGATGACAACAATGTTAAAAGTAAAGTAAGATTCAGAGTTTTTGATGTGAACAAAGACAGTTGTTGGTTTACATAAAGTTTATAACAAAGCCCTTCAAAGTAAAAATAAATTGAAAGTATTATGTATTAAAGTATTACGTATTATTTGAGTATTTCTTGTAAAACACACTGTTCTTAAACAGCGGCCGCGGACCAGAGGTTGGTACCACAGTGTCAGCTGGTCCTCCGGTTCAAATGTGCGACACTAACGACATGACAGCGCCTCAGTGCGCATGCAAATTATTCATCAATACCTGCTATCGAGACTCGTTAATTACTGATTAATAAAGTGCCTTACTAAGACAAAACAGTGCCGATAGTGAATTTGATACTGTGTTGTATGAAGTTGCACTTACAGAGGTCCTGAGTAGTCTCCCAATGGTGGCTGCCATTTTGGATTATGACAGAGGAGGGCGGTTTGAGTTGGTTATTGCGTCATTTACGCGCGTGTTCGACGCAAACCTGTATAATAATATAAAGTATAAAATATCGTATATGATGTACTGTCAACTTGACTTTATGAGAATGGGAACCAAAAATAGCAGCAGAAGACGTTACGGGGAAAAATTAAAACCTAAAAATAAAAACAAACCTTAACCGGCTCTCATGCTGCCTTTGGGTGCTTAGCTCCTCGGGGCGATATATCTCAGATTAAAAAAAGAATAGCAAAAGGTCCAATCACTGGGAATTTATTGTAGCGCTGGAAAGATGGCACCGCAATTTTATTCATTTATTTATTCATTTTTTGTCAAAAATGTGTTACAGAGGTCTGTTTAAAAAAAACAACAAAACATTGCCTCTTGTTAAAGTTTTGTTTATTAATAATCCCAATATTTTGCATCAACCATGAACATGCTGCATATGCTTCCAGCTCAATAAAGTGAACACAATAGCAACACAGATATGACCATGGGCTTATGATACATCCATGGATATGATCCATGATTTCATCACATAGAAGTATAACCTCCGATATTTCCGAAGTTCATGAATGTACCACCACCCGCCCACAACAGAACACGTGGTTGAACACGGAAATAGTTTCTAAATAGAACTTGACCTCAGAAGCATGGGAAATCAGTGTGAAGTGTAGCAGTGTTATTGTGAGATATTTAATTAATAAGACGTGAATGTACTTGTTGTTGTAATGGATCCTAACCAGTTGTACTGGAGGAACCAGGGGCAGGTAACTGTGCTGTGTTTTAACATGCAGAGCATCATCAGTGATGAGGATATATCACACAGTTACAGTTACAATGAAACTGAACTGTTTATTTCTTAGTTCCTCTGATGTTTCTGCTGACCTGTACCTTCTCTTTCAGTCTTTCCTCAGTCGAGTTCAGATCTGGCTTAATCTGCTCGATCCAACTGTCCTGCTCTCCTCTGATGTAAGTAGCAGCTACTGCGGTGATCTGATACTGAGAGACGACTAGAAAGAATCTGATGTTTAACTAATGGTGCTGCTCTCCTCAGGCTGAAATAGAGAGGTCCCACTCTCTTCTTGGAGGTGGAGAGAAAAGGGAAAAGGTCAGATGATGTTTCTACTCGACAGACAGTCACCTTTTTAACTTGCCTCTCAGCTTTATTTAAACCTCTTTCTTCCTTCTCTAGGATGCTCCTGCACTGACCCTCGCTCTTGTAAGTGTTGAAAGAAACATAAAACAAATAATATTCATGTTTGCTAAATTAACCATAAATATAAATAAATATTCTGCATGAACACTCTCTGTTACAATATTTACCAGAAGGCCTAATATGTAATGACTGCTGCTTCTGCTCCAGTAGAACAGATGAAGATCATGTATTTCAGACATTTGAGCCACGTGCATCAAACATTTGTATAGACAGAACTGAAATTCATTTTTGCCAGTGTGTTTATGTCTTTAAATGTGTCCAGATGTTTTATCCTCTGGAGGCTGTGGGGTCCATATGTTGTGATTTGAATGAGTTTCTTTAAGTCTTAATGTTACCTCTGTGTTTCCAGTCGTCCGTCCACGCTGACTCTGGAGCTGTTCTTCCACTAGTTTTCCGCCCTCCAGGTACAGCAGAATGCAGACTTTCACTAATCTTCCTCCAGCCAATATTAAAACATCAGTACCTTGTAATATCGACGAGTATTTAATGTGTTCTCATAGAAACTTTAATGGCAGTAAATCATGGTATTTGCGGGTCTTTCAAAAAAGTATATAAAGGTCTCAAAAGTTGAGATCAGAAATCAGCTGCTGCTGTCTGCTTTGTTGAGTTTAGTTTCAATTCCACTAACATTAAAATCAATCTTTAAACATCTCAAATGACATTTTGTATGTATATTGCTACTGTGTTATTGCATTACTGCAATTATCTGCAACATATATCCTGATGCCCTCTCCTCTGTCATTTCCTTATAGCATTATTACCAATATCAGCACCTTTGGTACGTGTGTCATCCAATCAATATTTAATCAATATTTAATTACACCTTGTTCTTAATATTGTTGTGGCTGTGAAACAAACTTTTTTTTTAAAAAGTGTGTTGTTGCAGGTGGTAGCCAGTTTTTTACCTCATAACACTGTCAAACCAGCTCTGTTCTGGCAGGTAACGAAGCTCATTCATCACATTAATAAAAATATATGACATGAGGCTATAACATTATGAACATTAATGATAAAAAAAAATTATCTTTTACAGTTTTTGCTGCAGAGTTACAGTGCTGGGTTCAACTATGCAAATAGAAATTCTTCATCAGAGCAGGTAATACATGAATCAGTAACACAAAAACTACTGAGATCCTCAAATATATCAGACACTGAGTCATCAGATACTAATGTCTCCACACAAAGTGACTCGTTTGCTTGAATCCCTCATTAATCTTCAGTCTTTACTCTGACGTCCTCCCTTCCTGTCTGTCTTTATCTCTCACCACCAGGGTAAGAAGACGTCTGTGAAGCAGCTCCTGTTGATCGCAGGAACAGTGTCCTATGCAACATGTGCAGGGGTGTGTGTGACCTGATTGTTGGTGTCAACTGTTCAGTGCTGACCATCATGTTTCAAGTGAACTTGCCCTAATGTATTTTCTGTTTCAGGCCCTTCCTCAAATTTTCATTAACCGACTCGGTGTAAGGAGTCCACCGATCCAGACTTTCTTTAGGTCGATATTACCAATCCCACTCTCAGGTAGGTTCTTTACTCTGAACTGTGTCAGAAATCAGAAACTATTTTACATCTCAGATAGTTCGCACATATATAAATCCAATTTGAATGATTTACCAATAATTCATCAGGCAGGGATCCAGTAGTAACAACTACAACTTTCTATACTAACATGGTGTGTAACTGTCTTCAGCTGCTCTGGCCTTCTTCAATGTCTTCACCGTGAGAAGTGAGGAGTCAGAAACAGGGATCCGAGTGTTTGATTCCAATGGAAATCCTGTCGGCATTTCTAAAGCAGCAGGAGAAAAGGTGAAGAAAGAGGAGCACATGGACATAAAGATGTCTTCTCATTGAAGACTTGCAGTGTTGAATATTTGTTTACTTTTTCCTCAGGCTGTGAGAGACACTGCGTTGTCTAGAGCGGCACTGTTTGGTACGACCGCCGCTGTTCCTAATCTGCTGGTTTTGCTTTTGAAGAGGTGAGTTAGTTTAAATTTTACTCCTGTCTACCTGGACAAAATCACACCTGTTTTAAACCTTAGATTTTCCTTCACAGAACGAGACTTTTCCAGAGGAACTCTCTGCTGGTCGCTCCTCTCCGTCACATAAGCGTTGCATTTGTTCTGGGCCTGATGATCCCTGTGTCGTTCAGCCTCTTTCCACAGCTGGGAACGGTGAGATTCAGGATCCTCTGCTCTGCTGTGATGTTTCCATAGTGATGAACTCAGCTGATATTGACCTTGTTTTACAGATAAAGAAGGAGGCGTTGGAGGAGGAGCTACAGGCTGCAGCCGTTGATGGACAGTTATTCTATCACAGAGGACTCTGAGGAGCAGTCACACACAGGAGATACAAAATGAACTGAGATCCAATTACAGTGCTGGATAGCATGAAAATATATGATCCAAAACTGAAATGCAGCGTTTTTTCAGAGTTTCATGTGGAATATTTTGTTTAAAAAACATTTCAAGAAACCTGAAGATAGTTTCTGATAGTAAATTTATTTAATTGGAATATTAGATGTTTTTATAGATATGAAATATTATGTCAATTCATGAAAATACAATTAGTTTTCAAACTTACACGAGCATGTAAGATTTATGTATTGCACTGTCAAAAACATCCTTTTGGTAATGTGGTTGAAAATGCACTGGACAGTAAAACAACATTGCTTATCGTACATTAATACAAAAAAAACCTGAATGGTAAGACACATAATGCAATTTAAATCACTGTGGAATAGAAGCATCAGTCATTATTTGATCAGCTGCAGGTTAATGAGGAACAGTTATTTTGTTTTTGCTTTTTTATAAAACACTTTGAAAAAACCTGATAACACAATTTGCTTGTATTTCTGTTGTGACACCAAAATCATTAGTAAAATACAAACTGTTTAAAAAGACGTAAACCCACATGTTGTGCTCTTGAGATCTCATAACCACGTACAACGCAGTTTCTATCAACTAACTCAATAACAATAAGTTCTCATCACATCTGAGTCGTTCCAGCTGCTGCTACCACACAAACACATCTGGGTCTGGCTCTTTACAGCGAGTCGATTCAGACCAAGAACAAGATTTGTGCAGCTTTGCACTGAGGAGTGGAAGCTAACATCTGGATGTACCAGCTGAAAAAGTACCAGCTTATTTGTGTCAATTTCACAACATTTGAGACAAATACTGTAGCTCCTTATTGTCAATAATGACTAATGTTAAAGTATAAGGCTATCATCATCTTATATTTATCTGTTTGCCAATAAATAGCATGAAGAGACCAAAATCAACAGTTTTAGTGTCTGTCTTTCTAAATTTTACGACATGGTACTCGGCCTCAAACCCACTGATTCCTTCTAGAGATAAAGTCACAAATGTATACCTTCATTCTTTTAAAAGGCTCAATGTTTTCCTACAACAGCTGGGTACTGTAGTTTTTAGCAAACACTACTCAGACTGCAGTAAACAGTGCATTTATTGGGGACTATTTCCAGCTGCGGATTAATACACATTTGGCATTCTAGTGAGTATTAACAGCAGCAGGACTGTGTATGAGGTGATTGACTCGAAATTAACTACAGAGAATGTCTCCCAGTGTAACAGAGCTTCAACAGCTTCTGAACGACAGTGGAGCTCTATGGCACAGAGGAATCACATATAATCAGGCTTTGACTACACACACAATACTTGTTTGTTTTGGTCTTTTCATGGGATTTGTTGGCAATAAAAAAATATATAAATTATTGTCAAACACCCTTGTATTGGTACAAGATATGAGTCACGTCTCATTAGCGCAACAGCGTAAGCTAAAATCTGATGCTAGTGACACTTTCCTACTTCACATGAAGGTTGCTGTGAGAGAGCGTCTTGTGCACACTCATATGATAACAGCGAGAGTCTGTACAAGCCTTTCAGAAAACAGTATTTATCCTGACGTATACAAAACACCACAGAGCCCACAGCTGCTGACAGCGACATCATCCTGCAGCGGAGCGTCTGAAATGGAGTTTATATCCTCAGGAGTTGCTCGGCAGCTGCCAAATGAAAGAGGAAGTTCTCCGTCGCTGGAGGGAAGTGACGCTGCTTTAAACCTTCCAGTGTGATTTTGGAGTCCTCACACTCGTCAGCCAGGGCGACCAGGTTGGCGAGGATCTCTTTGGTCTTCACAGAGATGTCCTGTGAATGAAAGCGTGGTCGTCAAGTTACAGTCAACATTTCTTGCAGCTGTGGCTTGGACACAGAAGTGCCGGTGTTCTGAGTGTGTTCTCACCTTGATCACCTGACTGTCTGACCTCTCAGCATCCTCTGCGGACTGGACGATGAGGTGGCCGACGTCCTTGTGTAGCTTCCCCATAGCCATGGCCTCTGTGGTGGGAAACTGCACGTCAGTCTGAGGGAAATGTTGTCCTACTCTCTCGCTCTCACAAACATATCTCCCTCTCTTTCAACATACTGTACCTTTGGCGCTCTGGGATACTGTGATGACACTGTCGGGGAGGTTCACGAACACATCAAACAAGTCTGATCTGTTGCTCACTTCTGGATCTACAAATCCTGCTACATACCCTGTGGAGAAAACAAACATATTGGTGCATGAATAATTCATTTCCCCACCATGAGATCACAGCGATCACAGTGCAGACGGTGGCACGAGGATAGGTCTCGCCACGAAGGTTTTCTGTTGATCAGAGTTTAAATAAATCAGGAGGCAGTCTCACCGGGGCATTTCTTTAAATCCTCCACTTCAGTATCAGTCAGGTGCACGTACGGGTGCAGGATGGACCAGTCTTTCCTGTGCCACGTCAGAGCCGGCAGAACTCTAGAGGGAAACGGGCAAAGTATTGTGACTTTAATCTCCCACCATCAAATTCTCATGAAGGTTTAAACTAAATATCTTGGCTTGAAGTCTCAATTTTACCTGGTGAACTCCAACAACGCTTCGATACGAGGGTGATGGACGACGATCCTCCTCTTCAGCATGAGAGCAGTGTACAGGATGATCGTCTCCATACCAAACTGAGACACCACATCTAAAACAGAGCGGAAACATGGAAGTAAACTGGATGACCCACTTTCATCTCTGAAGGAATCTGGGTTGTGTTCTTAGTAAATTTTTATGAAGCACTTTCAGTGTTAGTTGTTTTTCTTTCAGCATTAGATGGTAGAATCACCAATACCATAGGGAAAGAAAAGATTCTTGGCTGCGTTTTCTACTTCATATTATAAAATAAAACACCACATCAGATACAAGTTGTTCACTGAGCTCCAATTTAAAGTAAGCGAACTTAGCTATGTTAATCAGTGGCTTGATTGTTTGACGCATTAACAATAATTCAAATAGTTGATTAGTTGATTGCCAGAAAATTAATCACAAGTAATTTTTTGAGCAAAAATGACAAAAATAGATTGCCTCAGTTTCTTAATTGTAATTATAATTATTATTATTATAATTATATCAGTTAAATATCTTGTTGAGTTTTAAAAAAACAAGATATTTAGGAATGTCACGATGTGTTCTGGTAACTTGTGATAGACTCAAACACAATCACAGAAATAATTTGTGAATAAAATAATAATGGAAATAATGGTTAGTCAACATTTACATGCAGTGCTTCTTTGTAGTCTTATCTTACTTGAATATAATTTCAGGTCGCAACTAAGCATTCATTTTTCTGTCAGTTAATATGCTGATTATTTTCTTGATTATTCAATGAGTCTTTAGTCTTCAAAATATGAAATTGTGAAAATAAATGTGCATCATGATTTCTCAGAGCCCGAGGTGATGCCTGCAGATCGCATGTTTTATAACACTAACAGTCCAAAACCCAGAGATATTCAGGTTACTATTATATATGACAACAAGAAGCAGGAAGTCTTTGCATCCGAGAGGCTGGAACCAGCGAGCCAGCGTTTGGCATTTTTGGTTGAAAATTACTGAAACATTTAATCAATTTCCAAAATAGTTGATTATTTTTCTGCCGATCAATTAATCATCTATTTGTCTCAGCTTTGCTATAACAATAAATCCACTGCATCCATTTTAAAGTGAAATCAGACTATAGAGCCCAAAATACAGATCCCTGTTCGTCCTAACAACTGTGACGTCTTACCTTTGACTGAACCGGCCAAGTACGCCTTCCGAACATCGTAGTCCTTGATGAGGAACGAGCCATTTTCATCACTCTGACAAATTCCTTTGGTGAGAACAGTGATGTAAGCCTCCATCATCTTCACTGGACTGCCGTGTTTGATGTACATCCTGAATGACAGATCAAAACACACCACATGACTAAATAAGCGCAGTCCACAGTACAAAGTTGGCATTACTCATGAAATACACAAACAGTGTTACCTGCAGAGTATTCTACTGAGTGCAGCATACTTCTCTGGGTTGAAGTCTTTTGCTGTGACAACTATTGAAAAATGAGTGACCTGAAGAAGGGAAAACAGAGACAAAACTCCATTAGTCGATCAACAGAAAATAATTATCAAATAAAGACACCAGCTTCTTAAATGGAGGATTTGCTGCTTCTCTCTGCTTTACATCATTATAAATCTTTTGGGGCTGCTGATTGGATAAAACACGCAATCTGAAAACCTCACCTTTGTCTCTGAGAAATTGTGCTGTGTATTTTTCTCCATTATCTTGCATTTTATAGACTATACAAATTACTAAACTGATTAATTACAAAAAACAATCAGCAGATTAATCCTGAATGAAAATAATCATAAGTGTCAGCCCCAGATTCATTGTTCCTAGTTTATGGTAAGGTAATTGTAATGGAGGAGTCTCTGAGAAATGACGTTGTACCTTGTTTAGTGCTGTAGGTTCCTGTACCTCCACTGTGGTAATGTAGTACCAGGTACGGCAGAACTGACCAAACACAAAGGTGTGGAAATCCCGGCTGTCCTGCGTCAGGCAGCACTTGCTGAGCAGGACTTGCCTCAGGTCTGAGTCCACGGAGGGATAGCACCAAACCCACAGTGTGTCTCCATTCACATCTTTCTCTGGGCAGAGACAAAATAACACCAACACTGAACATGGTGTATCAATCTTTACCTATCTGAAGAGGGACAGAGATTAAAAATGGTCTAGGACAGGGCCTCATGAGACCAAATCTTCATCAGGTCTGTGTTATCCATTTTACCAGCTCCTAAATGAACGCAGGACAAACATGCAGGAGCAATGAACCAATGAAGGACATGGAGCCCTGCTGATGGGAGACGTTTGGGTCACAATGGCATCATGTGATCCTCTTGCAGGGAGTCTGAGGCGCCAGGTTCGTTTCAAAACCAAGACCAAGAAACAAGAAACCACGAGTGAACTTACACTTACCGATTAATCCGACGCTTAACATAAGCTGCGTTTCAGTCGCTGCCATATTCCATACCTGAAAGAGTTCATAAACACAAGTTAACTGAAGAGAAACCCCCAACCATCTTCCTCTGCGGACGCTAATGTAGCCGTGAAGTACCTTGAGAGCTCCTGCAAAGTCCAAAACCAAAACACAATCCCGGGCAGGTTTACTGAGGCAGAAAATATGTTCAAACTTGTCAGTGGCCTGGGTGTGATTCCTGCTGTCAACAGAGTTTCCCCACTCTGCGAAATCTCTTCCTTCTTCCGGGACTGGAGGATTGTGCGGGAGGAGACACGCTGCTCACAACCAATCACAGCTGGCGATACTCCAGGGCTGATGGTTCGTTCACAGATACCGAAATTGTAGAATTATACAAAACAAGACATCAGAAACTTGTGAAATGCCAATAAATTATGTTGCCATATTTCTGATTGGAACAGTTAAGTGTAGGCAGGCATATATGTATATATACTCAGTCTACTCAGTATGAATACTGATTCTAACCTAATATTGTTTTTTTTAAGGCTATTATGTTTTTTAAACATGATAAATGTTTGTGTCCTTATGTTTGACCTTAATAAATCTCCATTGTACATATTTAAGATACATTAAGCCTTCTCTGAAATTAGCAAAGCAATATAAATATGTTTGGCAGCAGAATAAGCAAAACATAACCTGCATGATAGTTTTCTAAGATATTTTGTATTGCATTTGTATTCGTATAGGTGTGGAGAGGAGGTTCAGATTTAGCCTCTCTATATCCAGTGTGAACAAAATTGTTCCAACCTACAATAGAACTTTAAAATTTAAATTGACCTACAAAACAGAAATACTCTTTTAGTCTGTATTTTAGTGTGTATTAACTTTTAGTATGTATTTCACTTTGATGTCAAGACCACTGAAAAGGGAAACCATTAATTCAAGTCTCTGTTTAGTTGGATGTGGGGCTATGTTTTGACCATGCAGTTATGTATGAGAGCTACATGGGTGAGGCACTTTCCGAGGGTTACCTGAACGCACCATCAGGACAGCGCATACGGGAACTTCAGACACCCAGAGCTGCCAGGTTTGTTAAAAACCCCCCATTTGGGAAGTCTAGGTTTTGTGAAGCTGTTCATTTCATAATGCTACAGAAGGAATACATAATAAAATAATAATAATCCTATAGGATTAGACTATTCAGAATAGTTCTCAATATCTTATATTGCACAAACTTTAATTAACAGAGATACAGATAACTTGCGCCTGCAGAGATTAATATTAATAGGTCATATACATCAAGAACATGCACTCATACAGGTATTACACACCAGTCACGAGTGACTGTTGTTAGGTATAAAAGTGTGTAACCAAGTATATTAAGTTCACGTGTATATTATTCGTAAGAACAACTTTACTTAATACACATACATCAACCTGTATTATTTATCATGATTTGTGGCTGAGGAAGACCAACATTTCTTCGCTTTCGGCTTGTGATAGGGGGGTAGCTCGTGGCGCACCTGGCAACCCTAGCTAGGCCGTTCACGAGGTTCTTCCTTTCTCAGCCAGCACCGTTGCAGTGGGTGAGTGCGTGGCTTGGATGGACTGGTGAAGTTAGTCAAAATTCACTCAAGTCAGCCCATTTGGAATTTCACTAGAACGCCACCGACATGCCGGCGTATTTTCAGCGGCCAGAGAATGCTCTGAAACGAGCGAACGGTGAGTATGAACACGGCTTCGTGTTTCACAGATGTCACAAGCTCACGCTAACTAGCTAGCCACCGTTAGCTGCTTTAGCCTTCGAATGCCTCGTCGCTTAGCGTTGTAGTTAGCCGGGCTAACTGCTACTACTAGCTTGAATGGCGGGGAAGCCATATCGCATTCTTTCAGCTAGCGTTAGTATTTAGCTAACCGGGTAGGCCATTTTTTGTGGTACTGGCTGTTGTACAGAATCAGAAACATTGTATAAACGTAGCTGTCTATTAGGTAAGCGTTATTATATTTTGACAGTTTTGTAACGTTATTGTTAACGTCTGGTAGCTACTGTCAAATGCCCAGTTGCTGCTAATGTAACGTTTACTAAGCATCACCACGGGCCTGTGTCGGGTAAATTTAGTTAACCACGGCGTTTGAAGGTGTGGAAGAGATGGTGCGAGATGCTAGGGGTTCTGTGGCACATCTGTGTCATCACTGACTTATGTCACTGTAATGTGTTTATACAGAGTTTCTGGAGGTTGGCAAGAAGCAGCCGGCCTTGGATGTTTTGTACGATGTCATCAAGAGCAAAAAACATCGAACATGGCAGAAGATCCACGAGCCCATCATGCTCAAGTACCTGGAGCTCTGCGTGGACCTTCGCAAAAGCCATCTGGCCAAGGAGGGTCTCTACCAGTACAAGAACATCTGCCAGCAGGTGTGTGAGGAGAAATCTGTGAGATCAGGTAGTTCTTTGTACTAGAGTCTTTAAGAGTTCAAGTGCAATCTCTGTCTCTGCTCTCAGGTGAACATCAAATCTCTGGAGGATGTGGTTCGGGCTTACCTGAAGCTGGCAGAGGAGAAGACAGAGACAGCCAAGGAGGAGTCCCAGCAGATGGTCCTGGACATCGAGGATCTGGACAACATCCAGACCCCAGAGAGGTGAGATTGACCAAGTCTTTAATGCAGAAATTAGGCTGCAACCAGTGTCTATACAGACTTCAAAGTTGTTTTCTTGATTTAATTGAATGAGTGTTTGTAAATAATCAGGCAATTATTACGTTTGTGTTACAATGATGATATGTTATTAATGTTGAGTGTGTTGTTACTTCAGTGTGCTCCTGAGTGCTGTGAGTGGAGAGGACACTCAGGATCGTACTGATCGCCTGCTGCTCACTCCCTGGGTGAAGTTCCTGTGGGAGTCCTACCGCCAGTGCCTGGACCTGCTCCGAAACAACTCCAAGGTGGAGCGTCTGTATCATGACATTGCCCAGCAAGGTAATGACACAAACTGAATGTCTTAAGTACATTTTAATTTCATTCTTTCTCTGTTTGTCTGAATTTATTGTCATATTTGTCCAGGGTGCATACTTTTCCGTCAACAAAATTTAAAAAAATGTTCATGTAGGTGGATGTTACAGAGTTCCAACATATGTACAGAATATGCACCATGTTTGAAATAATAAACACTATCATGTTCAGCCAGAAACAAAGCGAATTAATGTTTTAATAGGTCTCATTTGAAAATATGAATATATATGCCTTATATCCTTAACTTGATAAGGGTTAGGGTTACGGTTTATAAGATTGTGTTATTAAAGTAATATAGTCAATATTTCAAAAAACAAAAATACACAAGCAAAAAAATCAGTGGTAAATTACACGTTGAATGTTTCATACTAAATGCTGTTAATAATAATATCTGGTCATCTTTTCTGCAGCATTCAAGTTCTGCCTGCAGTACACTCGCAAGGCTGAGTTTCGCAAGCTGTGTGACAACCTGCGTATGCATCTGGGGCAGATCCAGCGCCACCACAACCAGAGCACCGCCATCAACCTGAACAACCCTGAGAGCCAGTCTATGCACCTGGAGACACGTCTGGTGCAGCTGGACAGTGCCATTAGCATGGAGCTCTGGCAGGTCTGTCCACTGAAACTCTCTTTGTATATAATTATGTTCAGTGATGCAGAAAATGTAGTGTAAGACTTGTAGAATAGCTAAACACTTTTACAATCCTCTTATGTCCTCTGCAATTAAATTGACGATACATGAGCAAAATAGTGATATTGGTACTAATGCGGTATTGTTGCTATTTCCAGGAAGCTTTCAAGGCTGTTGAGGACATCCATGGACTGTTTGCTCTTTCCAAGAAGCCTCCCAAACCCCAGCTGATGGCCAATTACTACAACAAGGTGTCCACTGTGTTCTGGAAATCTGGAAATGCTCTTTTCCACGCCTGCACTCTCCACCGGCTCTATCACCTGTCCAGGGAGATGCGCAAGAATCTGACCCAGGATGAGATGCAGAGGTATCTTTATCTATTATTTATCTACAGAGAAGTGCACAAGTTTGACTCTGGTGGCCGATCAAACGGTTAATTACACTTTCCATCTTCAGGATGTCCACCAGAGTCCTCCTGGCAACTCTTTCCATACCCATCACCCCTGAGCGCACTGACATTGCTCGGCTGCTGGACATGGATGGCATCATTGTGGAGAAACACCGCAGGCTGGCCACGCTCCTGGGCCTCCAGTCTCCGCCAACCCGCCAGAGTCTCATCAATGACATGGTACATTATGTGCACAAGAAAGCAGCTTTGTGAAGTGTTTTAGGTTTCAAGAGTCCCTGAATGTTGCTTTTCAAATAACAGAAAAAAATCTCTTTATGGTCTTTTTAAGAAAAATCAGTTGACTTTGACTTTTTACCTGACCTTGTAAAACTGCTGATAATAAATATTATTATAAATATTATAAATAAGATATTTGACAAATGTATGTTTTAATGTTTGTTTTCTAGGTGAGATTTAATTTACTGCAGTATGTTGTACCTGATGTGAAAGAACTTTACAACTGGCTGGAGGTTGACTTTCATCCTCTGAAACTGAGTGGAAGAGTGACCAAGGTAAAAAATCTGTCAGACACAGATTTTTAGTAAAAGTTCATATTATATTCATTAATTAAAATTAGTGAAGCTACTAATTTCTAATTCCAGTGTATGCTAACACTTACTCTCCCACCAGGTTTTGAACTGGGTGAGAGACCAGGCTGAGAAGGAGGCTGATCTGCAGCAGTATGTTCCTCACCTGCAGAGCAACACCATCCTGAGGCTCCTGCAACAGGTTTTTGTCTTTAATTTCCCTGGACTGCCCTCCTAAACCACATCTTCAATGTAATGATGCTAACTTTTCTCATTATTCTGCATCTGTTATTTTAGGTTGCACAGATTTATCAAAGCATCGAGTTCAGCCGTCTGGCCTCCCTGGTTCCATTTGTGGACGCCTTCCAGCTGGAGCGCTCCATTGTGGATGCTGCCCGACACTGTGATCTACAGGTAAGATCAACATCAGGAGGGATTATGCATTAGTCACCCTTGATAGTCCATCAAAAGTATTTTTACAGTGATGAGGATGCAGTTATGACACAAAAGTTATCAAGCCATTTCTTAACTTATCTAACATTTTGCTTTGCCTTTTAGGTCCGAATCGACCACACCTCTCGGACTCTGAGCTTTGGTTCTGACCTGAACTACTCAACCAAAGAGGACGCTCCTGTTGGTCCTTTCCTACAGAACATGCCCTCAGAGCAGATAAGGAACCAGCTGACTGCCATGTCTGCTTCCTTGGCTAAGGCCATCCAGGTCATCAAGCCTGCCTCCATCCTGGTGAGTCAGCCTCTCACTGACCTCTTATGTATAGACACACAGAGGCTGGGACCATCTGATCAGTGACCAACATTAACTTTTTACAGGCTAGCATGTCATGTCATGAATATACATGCATGTATGTTCATGACATGCAGCACACATGACCATACATGCATGTATGGTCATGTGATATTAAAATCTGATTCAAGATTAATCCAGTACAGTCTGCTTTATTCTCCAACACTAAACTGCATTCTGATGTTTTTGTCGTTTCTCAGCAAGAGCGTGAGGAGCAGAACCAGCAGGCCATTGCTGCCTATCTGAAAAATGCCCGCAAGGATCACCAGCGTATCCTGGCTCGTAGACAGACCATTGAAGAGCGTAAGGAGCGCCTGGAGAGCCTGAACATTCAGCGTGAAAAGGAGGAGCTGGAGCAGCGGGAAGCTGAGATGCAGAAGGTCCGCAAGGCTGAGGAGGAGCGTCTGCGCCAGGAGGCCAAAGAGAGGGAGAAGGAGCGCATCATGCAGGAGCATGAGCAAATCAAGAAGAAGACAGTCCGTGAACGACTGGAGCAGATCAAGAAGACTGAACTCGGAGCCAAGGCCTTTAAGGATATTGACATTGAGGTAAAATGTGGCCAAAATACATTTTTGTTGAACTCCATATTGCAGAAATAGGTCATAGTGATATTAAGTTTCATGAGACTAACAAATGTGTTTTGTGCAGGACCTGGAGGAGCTGGATCCAGACTTCATCATGGCCAAACAGGTGGAGCAGCTGGAGAAGGAGAAGAAGGAACTTCAGGAGCGTCTGAAAAACCAGGAGAAAAAGGTAACTGAGTGAGACATCAGTGTTGAGTGTCTTACCTTGATGTGAATTAGAATTTGACACTGACTGTTATATCTCTCCAGATTGACTACTTTGAGAGAGCCAAACGCCTCGAGGAGATTCCTCTCATCAAGAAGGCTTATGAGGAGCAGCGTATCAAGGACATGGAACTGTGGGAGCTCCAGGAGGAGGAGAGGGTATTTTGAAATAAAATTCTGTTTAATATATATATATATATATATGGTTCTAAAAAAATTAGAAACACTAAGTGAGGAAATTCAAGTTTTTCAGATGAGTATCCACAGTGTAAGAATTTACTTTCTTTCCTGTTGTTGTAGATCAGTAACATGAAAGTTGAGCGGGAGAAGGCTCTGGAGCACAAGAAGCGCATGTCGAGGATGATGGAGGACAAAGAAAACTTCTTGTCTAAAATTACCGCTGCCCGTAGCTTCATTTATGAGGTAAGAGCATTTAGTCCCTCCATCAACTTAAGCTGAGTGTTTAGGGCTGAGGCAGTGGTTTCATGTTCATTGTTCTGTCTTTCAAGGAAAAACTGAAAGCTTTCCAGGAGCGTCTGGTGGAGGAGAGGAAGAAGCGTCTGGAAGAAAGGAAGAGACAGCGCAAAGAGGACAGGCGTAATGCTTACTACCGCCAGAAAGAGGAAGAGGCCCAGCGTATCCACGAGGAGCAGCTCAAGAAAGGTAATAAATTTGCACTGAGACACAGAACTTGTCATGATAAAAGAGGGGTAGAATTTCATGTGCCACAGAAAACAGACATTTACATCCAGGAAGAAACTGTGGTAGAAATGTCAGCAGTAGTGGTTCGAGTGGTTGTTTTCAGGGACATTAGCTCTACAGGGAGGAGCTGAGTTGTTGCCCAGCATTAAATTTTTATTTTGCTTGGTTTTCACATGGTACATAACAAAGTGAATAAAGAGGCAACTGTAATTGTGGCAGCCACTCCATGTGTGCTGCATCCTGCTTTTTAAATCAGAGCAAAATGTGGTAGCTCTTACTCCAAGAGCTAATGTAGTTTGAACATCCCTCATTATTTTCTTACTTTTGTTACAGAGCGTGAGGAGCGTGAACGCCTGGAACAAGAGCAGAGAGAGGAGGAGGAGAGGGAGTACCAGGAGCGTCTGCGCAAGCTCGAGGAGCAGGAACGGAAGCAGCGTGCTCGTCAGCAGGAGATTGAGGAGCGAGAACGCCGTCGTGAGGAGGAGAGAAGGGGCCCGCCGGAGGAGAAAGCTAAGGTACAAATGAGCTTTTTTATTTCTTTAACTCATGGTCAGAGCCAACAGTTTCATGCAAATATGAAGCAGGGCTGAGAATCAAAATTAATTCATGCAAGATTTTCTATATGATGAGGCTGAACTTCCAGACAGAGTTAGAGTTCAAATGTTTAGTGTAAGGATACACGTGTGTATAAATTAGTAGCTTAATGGTCCAATCTATCAGTAACACAAGTAAGACAATAATCTGTCATAAAATATTGTGATATATTTGATTTGAGTGCAGAAAAACAGACTTCAGGTTAAAACATTCGACATATTTCTGGTAAGAACTGATGAGGACTGAGCTCTGCAGACCTTTGAGTGATCCTGAAGTAATGGTACAATATGTATGATTTGCTTCCACAGGAATGGGGTGAGAAGGAGGAGGGAGGATGGAGGAGCTCGCGGCGCACTGAGGGAGGTGACTCAGAGCGGCGGCGTCCTGTGCCTGACAGGTGAGTGTTGGTAACGCCAGTCGCTTTGCTTTTTTTATTGTTGATTCCATTAAACCAGGAGGGGTCACTCTAACAACACCTGTGCTCGCTCTCTCCCTCCAGGGACTGGAGACAGGAGGGCAGTGAAGATGACAAAGAGGAGAGGGAGGTGCCCTTCAGGCGAGGAGAGGGTCCCCGCAGGGGCGGAGATGACAGAGGACCCCGTCGGGGCTTTGATGATGATAGAGGCCCACGTCGTGGCGGTGATGAGGACCGTCCTCCACGCAGAGGGATGGATGATGATCGTGGTCCACGTAGAGGCTTTGATGATGACCGCGGACCAAGGAGGGGTGGAGATGAGGAGCGTGGCCCATGGCGTGGTTTTGATGATGACCGTGGTCCCAGGCGTGGCTTTGATGACGACAGAGCTCCCCGCCGAGGCATGGATGACTCCAGGGGTCCCAGACGCGGGGCTGATGATGACTGGGGCAGAAGAGGAGGAGATGATGAAAGAGGTGGAAGGAGAGGCATGGATGACGGGCCACGTCGTGGTGGTGATGACGCAAAACCATGGAAACCCCTGAGCAGACCTGGTAAGCCTGTAGCCAGTCAGCTGCTGATAAGTGATAGAGACGTCTTACAGTCTGTAAGCTTTATTCAACAGTCAGACTCTCAGCAGCTCCTAATGTAATGTCTGACAGGATGATGAGCAAATGCTTCAGTTGCAGGTGGCTGGCGTGAGCGGGAGAAGGCCCGAGAGGAGAGCTGGGGACCTCCCCGTGGTGGTGGAAATGACGATGATGGTGAAGGAGAGGAAAGATCCAGCGACCGCTTCAGAGAGCGTCGCCCACAGAGGTGGGCCTAACAGAAGATCTATGTTCAGAGTGTTGATATAATTTATTTGTTTTTGAGGACAGTGACGTGTCACTGTTAATCGCTGTCTCTTTGTTTTCACAGAGAGGAGGGTGGTCCCTGGAGGAGAGCAGGTGGAGAGGAGGGGGGCAGCAGCTGGAGAGAGTCTCGCAGAGAGGACGACCGCGAGGATCGTCGTGATCGTGATGATCGCCGTGGTGAACGCCGTGATAGAGATGACCGTGAGCAAAGAGCCCCACCCAGAGAGAACGAAGAGGGTAAGCAGAGCAGGATTTAGGAATGACACATGTCAAGGATACATAGGCAAATAGTTTTCCTTAAAGATGTGACATAATTAAAAGCTGTTGAAAATACGTCTTTTTAAGCCAAAATATGTGTACAGTTTGTGGCTCAACAAAACCTTCAGTAACATTGAGGCTTACGTTCAGATTAATGAGTATGATTAAAACATTGTGGCCATCATCAGTCACACCCCCAGACTGTGTCATTTATCCTCCAGCCAGCAGAGGTCAGTGTTTACCTGTTTACTCACTGTTACAGCAGGTGTCTTAAAAACATACCCATCAAACTTGTTACTTGTAACATGTTGCTGCTTGAATGTCACCTAATGAGCATCTCTGTTTCCTCAGGAGGCTCTTGGCGTCGTGGAGGTGGAGGTGAAGAAAAGCGCGAGGAGCGGGACAGGGACCGGCCCAGAGACAGAGAACGCGACCGTGATGGTGAAGGAGAAAAGGGTTGGCGTTCAGATAGAGAAATCCCTCGTCGCACCAAGAATGAGACGGATGATGACGGCTGGACCACTGTCCGTCGCTGAGAGCAACAGCCTCTGCATCTAATTGGCTCAGATGATGATAAATTGGTTTTGAAAAAAAAAAATTCAGTATCCATTTAGCCATGATGATAGATTAATGGCTACAAGCTCCTGATACTCGTGCGTTATTCTTTTGAATGAAATATTTGTAGACAGTAGTTTTCCTGGGAATTGTTTATCTTTACTTTGAGCAGTTCTGAACCAGAGGCTCTCGACCACCTGAAACCATCAGCCAATGAACTTGTGTGCACTTAGTCCTCATGCAGATCATTAATCCAAACATGACTGCCCCAAGTGGCTGGGAGTGTTATTAGCTAAAACGATGAAGTGAAACTGATTTCAACTGAAAACCAATGTACCTGCTCCAACGTTCAATGCAAATTCAGTGTATCACCAACTGCCTCTTTTGGATAATTAACCTTTGCATAGATATTATATTAAGGCACAGATCTACATCTCTTGTAATGGCATTTGTCATCTGCTTCATTGATCTCTGCTCTTCATCTAATGTTTCAGATGCTGCTTGTTAAGGACATAGTGGACTTTCCATTTTGATGTGTATTAGAGTATTCAATTGATCTCACTCAATATCCAGCGTGTGCTTCTATCTTACTGCAATCAGTGTCATCAAAGCTGGTTGCATGTGTACAGATAAAGCCTTTATTAATAAAGATGTTTGCTCACCACCTATGTGCTCATTTTATCTCAACTACTACATCAACATTAAACATACAGTATACTTCAGTCACTTAAGACAGTGGTTCCCAGGTTGGGATGGGTCCAGAGGGGTCCCAGGACAAGGAGTGCATGTGAGAATTACTATGAATGTAATGCTTAGGAAATCTATCAGGAGAAAAGACAAAACTACAGCCTTTGTGAAGAGGTTGCAGACAGTAATTTCTTTGTTTTAAAAGTCAGGAACAATGAAAGGCAGTGAATCAGTAACTTAAGATGTCAGACTAGCCGATTTTACAAACATCTTCAGTATCTGTGTTGGTCCATATCACCAGAAGTGAACTCTTTGAGTACCTCTGACAAATGGTGGTGGTAGACTGTGTAGGTGCTTTGAAAACAAATGTGCATCAGCTCTAGTACAGCACCAGTGCAACTAGACCAGAGGCTCTCAACCTTTTTCACATCAAGGACCTTAAACTGGCACAAATTAGACCACAGACCCCCATTTGATTAGATATTGTCCCAGGGTCCCCCTCTGTGAGATTTTAGATTTTTCTTTTCTATTTTATTACAGAAAGTGTTTGAAACCCATGACTCAAATAGTCATACATTCTGTCATTGTGTTACTTATGGATGAAATAGTGAAAAATAAGTATTCCCCTTTTTGCTGGCGACCCCTGGGATTCCCCAACTCCCACTCTGAGAATCACTGAATTAAATCATTCTACATTTTGTTGGGGACTTGCTGGATCTCAGTTCTTCAGTTCCCTAAAGCTCCTCTGACCCCAGTTTTGGGGCAGTTTATCACGCTGCCATGTCGCCACCACTAGAGGTCCGTAAGGCACCGTGGAGAGGTGGAGAGACCGAGACGCTTCACCGTGTGAAAGCAGCTACAGCCTGTTGGTTCGTGTCCATGATCAGCAGTTAACTCAGTGTAAAACTCAAGAACTCAGATATTAACATGCAGCCAGTGGTCAGTGCAGTCAGTTAGCAAACCAGTATCAAGCTGCTGGAGTTGTAAAAAAAACAAAAAAACAAAACAAAGTTTTTACTGAATAAATGTTTATCTGACTACAAATGGTTTTGAATTTAACTGCAGTTTATAGCTACGATTTACTATAATAATAATAATAATAATAATAATGATAACAATAATGATAATAATAATTATGATGATAAGAAGAAGAGGAAGAAGAAGAAGAAGAAGAAAAAGATAAGAATATAAGACACTGACTGATATCTATTAGATGATATAAAATAAAAGACTCTACCTTACAAAATGAACTGACTAACCAAGTTCAAATAAAAATGATTCGTCAGTGTTGATAATAATAATCGTGTAATCTGTATAATCTGTGTTCAGACATTTTTAAAACGTCAGCTCATATTGCGTATTGTGTGTTGTACAGCTGTTGGTGCTCTGACATCTTTACGAGCCTATTATACTGTGTAGTTTGTATTTTATTCCAGAGCCTTAATCTACCCGCCAAAATAAAACCTGAAGTAGACTTGTCGATAAACCAGCACTGATAGATTACAAGTCAGCGACGACAATAATAATAATAATAATAATAATAATAATTTAAATAATAATAACAATAATAACAATAATAACAATAATAATAATAATCTCACTTTGGAATTAATATTTAGAGCGTTCAGATCTGTCCTCTGTTATGATCTTGTGTTCAAATTGAATTTCCCAGCATCTACAGTCATAATCACCTTCTTTATCCCCTTTTCCCTTAAAACTAAAAAAGAAAATAAAAATATAAACATAAATAATCATATAAAGAAACTTAAAGTTGGGAACCACAGTGTCAGAGGTGCAGCTGCTCATGTCTAACCCGCCTCATCACGGTACCTCGGCGTGATGTTGGTGTGTATGACTGCTGTATACAGGCCCTCGATGCGCGGCCATGGCTGCAGCTTTGTGCTGCTGCTCTCCACTCACTGATCCACGCACAGGGGTGACAGCTCCACTACACACCTGAGCATTTAGCCCTGAGCAAGTTTGACACACAGCGACTCATCAGTGGGAAGGTGTTAGTGAATTCTGGAGACTCTGTCAGTCTTCATGCCGCGTCCTGCGCAGCTGACAAAAAGCTCTAAATCTTGGCTAAAGCTTGTTTGTGTCTCTGGTGTCTCCCAGACATCCCATCCATCACTGTTCTATTTGAACCTGATAGAACCTGGAGACGAATGAAGCCGAGCAGGAACGAAACTAGAACCATTTCCCCACAGAAATCAGAGAGAAAAGCAACATGAGGAGAAATGAGCGAGGCCCGTCTGAAAGCGCAATTAACTGGTGCTAAATATTAGCCTCGGAAACAGACTTTAATGGAGCTGATTTCATGTTTGCGCAACATTGTTGTGCATAATTAAAAATAATCACTTGCTGGTACTAACACCACACACACATACCACACACACACACACACACATATACACACACACACATACACCACACACACACACACACACAACACACACACACACACACTATACTATATATATATATATATATATATATATATATAACCGCGTCATGGCACATTACATATATACATACATATATATAAATCAGTTTGAACCTGTCATAGGCCTTAAATACAAATAAGCAGCTACCTTGAGCTTTTCTAGCCTACTGGTTCAGTCTGTTAAATGTCCTGGAGATATGTGCGCGTGTGAGTGAGTTTGTGTGTGTGCGTACATGAGTGTATGTGTGTACGCGCGCGCGCGGGGGGCTCCTCTCTGGACGAATCCGTTCCGTGTTGCGCGTTCGAGTCCGCCTCTCCGCGCCCCTGCTTCCCATTGACGCACTTTTTAAGCGTCTTCCCCTTCTCCACCTTAAGGCGAGCAGCAGCGGCAGCGACCAATCACCATGCCATTACAGCTTTCAGAGGAAGCTGTTTATGGGACTGCAGCGCTAATTAGGCTCATGAACTAACAAATCTGCCTGCACGAACCTGGCGAGGAAAACGATCACATCCATGGATTAGTCTGGGAGTAGCCGAGCACTTTTTATTTTGGCTTTCTCGGCGCTGCCGCCTTTTCCCAACTTATTTACTGCGCAGAAACTTTCCCCCTTTCTTGGGTGTGGAGTATTTTTTAAGCGAGAGCGCCTCCGACGACTTTAACTTAAACTGGGGAATCTGGACTATCAGACCATGTTTCAACCTACACCCAAGAGGTGTTTTACTATAGAGTCTTTAGTGGCGAAGGATAATCCTGTACCGGCGTCCCGCTCCGAGGAGCCCATCAGGCCAGCGGCTCTCAGCTATGCAAACTCCGGCCAGATGAACCCCTTTCTGAACGGCTTTCACTCCGGCGGCAGGGGCGTCTACTCTAACCCGGACTTGGTGTTCGCCGAGGCGGTCTCTCATCCGCCAAACTCCGCCGTCCCGGTGCATCCGGTGGCCCCGCCGCACGCTCTGGCCGCTCACCCGCTTTCCTCCTCACACAGTCCGCACCCTCTTTTTGCCAGCCAGCAAAGGGACCCCTCAACTTTCTACCCCTGGTTATTACACAGATATAGGTACTTGGGTCACAGATTTCAAGGTAAGTGATCGAAGTGTTTCGTTCGGTTGACTTTTACGCACGAATCGCGCCGAGCGGCTGGAGAGAGAAGACAGATTTCTGTTGTGTCCATCAGCTCAGAGAGCAGCATGTAGCTGGAATTAAAATGTGTGAGGCTCGAACAGACTCAGGCGAAACAGACACTTATTTAAAGGATTATTTCACTTAAAATGAGCCTATAATGAATTTCTTCATTTAGAAAAAAGTAGACTAATGTAGAATAAAGAAAGAATTGTTATCTTGGCTTCTGTTGCGTCTGTTGCGTCTATTGAGGGCTGTAAAAAAACAGACCAATGGCAATTTTGTCATATTTGTACATAAAAAGGAAAATAAAGCATCTCTGCTCATCACTTCAGATTGAAGAGAGTTTTAACGGTGAAGAAACATTTTTGCTTTAAAGGGAAAAAATGAAATAATGTGGATGTTTAATTGAGGAGCCTATTGTTAATTTTCTGAGGCTGAGATGAGCCAGATTTGGGGTGATTTTATTTTTATTAATTAAACTGACTCGTCCTGTGAGATGTTTAGACTCTTAAAAAATTCGTTTATTATTTTTTTCTTTTGTTTGCTCATTTTATGGGATTTAATTTGTTATAATTTGTTTGTTTTTTTTCAGACAAATTAAAAAGCTCGTATGTAATGATCGTAATTTACAGATAGTGATTGTGAATTAATTTTTCTTGAAGTGGTATTTGGCTGCTGTTTATTTAAACGTCTTGATGCTGTTTGGATTTTACCTGCGATTTTGTTTACAAAGGCTGTTTGTGAGCTAATTGAATTAGGCCCAGGATTATACCTCTGCTTTGTTTTGTTTCCTTCTGTCCTTCGCGCGGTGGCTTCACTAATGTTAGATGAAGAAACTCTACATTAAACAATAACTGAAATATAGACACGTTTTCCATAAAAGATTTTTTCTTTTATTTCCAGTCTTGTCCTCAGACACTAGTGTTTGATAGCTGTGCGCAGGCCTGCTGTTTGTTAGGGAAATGTTTATATTATAATAGAATAAAAAGAAAGAGAGAAGACCCTGACAGATCCTCGTTTTGTGCTCGTCTCCAGGTAATGAAACGAGTCCAGAGAGTTTCCTTTTGCACAACGCGCTGGCCAGAAAGCCCAAAAGAATCCGGACAGCGTTTTCACCTTCGCAACTCCTGCGGCTCGAACACGCGTTTGAGAAAAACCATTACGTGGTGGGAGCAGAAAGAAAACAGCTCGCCCACAGCCTTAGCCTCACAGAAACTCAGGTAAGAAACACTGCATCTGCTTTATCATCAACCTCCACATGCTGCCTCTTTATTTCTCCTGCGAACGCCAACAATGCTCTTATTTCATTTTGCTTTATTTTTTTTAATTTCACTGCTGTTTCAGGGTGTTGTGTGATGTTCTGCTCACTTGCACTTTATAGTCCTTTTTATTGCTATCATAAAAAGAC